AAAGATACCAATGAAGCGGAATATCGACCACGCTGTTTTGGTATTTAATACCAAAGGAGAAAGTCAAGCAGATGTTGTCCTGTGGCTACTGTAGAGTGTGCCAACACTACTCCCTCGAGAAAGAGTAAGTGCCTGATGGCGATGCGCAGCACGCTTCAATTTTCTCTAGATTTCTAGCCGCATGTCCGTGTTTTCACGGATCTCTACACCTTCTGTTGGACTTGATGTTGTCCCAACTTCTTTTGTTCTGGGTCTATCCGAGGCTCCTTCTACGCCTATACTAGGTACAAGGGCCCGGAGAACTAAGAATCGGTTGCTGTGCGAAAAGCAGTAGGGCCTTTTCTCAGGTTTCTACACCTACAGTGGTTCTGACCCTAGACGAGGATCATGTCCCAGCCCGAATTGCCAAGAGGCATTCCCCTCCTCAAGTTGTGGGGTCCTTCAGAACCCGTTGTTGATATTTCTTCCACTACCACTAATCTTCTGACTAAAAAGATAGTGAGAGCCATCTCTTACCTCCGAGGAAGGGGACTTGTCACTGAGAGAGTCCTTGCCCTAAACTCTGAAGTATCTGGAAAGGTAGGAAAAGGCTTTCTCTACTTCCTTTAGAGTCCTTGTGGCAGGAGACCGAGGTCTTTCCGTCGGTCCGCTACAAGGCCTGCACTTTTTCAGTCTGTCGTATAGGCGGTAGAGCCTGCTGAGGCATCCCGTGACGGGACATTGGGAGCGGCAACTACAATCGTTGTACCAAATATGGCTCCTGTTGTTTCTGATTTGGATGTTATAGCGGCGCCGCCCACACCTATATTTTCCACTCAAATTAATAAAAAGAAAAAGCTTCTTGAGTACTTTTCCTCTTCTTTAAGTAAGAAGAAAATCGATTCATCGTACTCCGGTCGAGGAAGATCCGAAGGATACCACGTAGACACTTGCCCCTTCGTTTTAAAAATAAATATGCTAGAAAAGATTATGTTCTTCCGATGCCGAACAGAAGGAAGTGAGTTAGATTGTCGCACCCCTCCTACTGTTCCTACTCCGATAGAGAACAACGTTGAGGTAGTCCCGAAATGAACCATTCCTCCTGTTGAGTCTGTCTTAGAGCCACCTCAAGTGAATCTTAGGCAAAGCCTGAGGTGGATCCCGAGGATGATTTTGATGGAAACCTCTCCGACATTCCAGAGGATCTCCTCGACAAGGACGACCTTCTAGGTGAGGAGTTACACGATCTTAAGATGGCCACTAGCCACGTGATAGTAGTCACCACTAGAGAAGCTGCCTCTAGTGGAAATCCCTCCAGTGATCTCGATGAGCCAGATCACCATGAATCCACAGGGTTCAGGATACACTTCGGTTGAGTATGAGGATAGGAGCAAGAACGAGATGATCTCCCTTCTCCAAGACCAGTTTGCCCTCTTGACCACCCAGATTGCGAGTTTGGGAGCCAACAAGTCTAGGTCTGACATAGATTAACCTGTTATACAGGTTGACACACGTCCAGTTACTTTGCAGCATGTAGCAAACAGTTCAACTAAATTGAAAATTTCTGATAGCATATAGCTCAATGACGAGCACATTGCAGCAATGTTGGAGGTAATGACATGTTGCTGCTTCTTCATTTTGTCACAAGCTTATTCGAGTTTGCATTTAAATGTATGCATATCTTCCAAATGGCACCTTCAAGACATTCTCCAAGCTAGAAGATGCTTTTATAAAGCGCTTCGTTAGGGCGCACCACCATAGTCACCACCAGATCACTATGACTTGATTGCTAGTCCAAAAGAGTCGCTTCTCGATTTCTTCATTCGTTGGCGGAATTTAAGAATGAGAAGTGAGCCACAACTTCTAAAGCAGCACGTCAACGCTTTTCTTATGACCAAAATTAAAGACCCAATTTCGATCTTGTTAAGATGACTACGGTCATAACTTTCTATGTCTTGATTGAAAGCGTGACAAGCCTGCAAGATACAGCAAGAGCCTTGGCCTTCAAAGAAAATGGTGAGAAGGCTAAAGGCAAAAATTTATTCATGGCGGGTCCTTTGAAGAGGACAGAAGAGAGCATGGCTTTGATAACATTAGATAGCAAGCTGAAGAAGCCTGTCATGTCTACAGAACCTGCTCGTCGACCTCCTCATAAGCGAAAGACCCAGTTTCTTGAGCATAGAGTTCTAAAGTCTATCCTTCTAAAAAGGAGTGTGTAAAGAAGATATTTAAAAATTTGCTTAAACAAGATATGCAATTAGCTCCACCAAGAAAGTTAGAAGAGGTGGGCAGGTTCAGAGAGCCTAACTTTCGCTCCTACCATCAACATCTGGGACATACACGCTTGAAGATTGCTATATATTCAAGGATTGGCTTGAAGCTCGAATCAAAGCTGGGAAAATTGAGATCCTTGATCAACACTTGGAGAAGCCTCTTGGAAAAGGATCAACCAAAGTTATTGAAGCTGCACCAGCCACGCCACCTACAGGTGTTGAGACAGCTGATACTTATGTATTTTTTTTCCTGCTTTACATTTGTGAGCTCAGAAGGGGGGGATGATGTCCCTCCTGACACATGTTGTAGCATTGAAAATGATGGAATGAAGGAAAATATTTTCACGTACTCTTCTGCGTTCCATGTCTTTATGAAAAATTCTAGAATTGTTGAATGTTGAACTCGATGACGATGATGACGCTGGGAAGAGGAGCAATTCCATCTGTTACCGTCCCTCGTTGGTGCATATCGTATATGTGACAAACTTAGTGATTCGTCAGACGACGCATGCTTGCCATCTGATTCTGAAAACCACGATCCAAGTGGATTAGTTGGGTGTTCCGTTGGAGATGATCACATCGAGTCCACTAATGAGAATATCCAGGAAGTCCACTTGAGAAATGGTAAGCTACTCCTTCCAAGAATGGGAAGCATACCCCAAACGATAAAAGGAAAGATATCGTTACCCACGAGGTCGATGATCATCCCGAGGTTCCTACAGAAACCATAAAGTTTCCAAATAAGCAGAAGCATCCCCATAAAAAGCTGTGATTGGACACGTAGAAGCATCCCCAGTCATATTCCCTTACCTGATTGAAAAAATGAATTGAGATACGTGAGATCAGTATTGCCTAGTTGAATTCTCTATTGGAAACCAACTACAAAAAAAGTATGGTGCGACGTGGTTCCTATAGACGTATGTCACATTCTGTTAGATAGATCTTGGCAGTTCGACCGCAAGACTCGACATGACTGTTTCAAGAACACTTATTTTTCAGGAAGGATGAGAAACGTATCGTTTTGCTACCAACTAAAGATATGAAAGGCGGGAGCGATACAGAGGCATCATTAATTTCCCGAACCACTTTCCTGCAGTCAATTTGAAATGTCACTGTAACACTAGCATTAGTCCTCCTAGAAAGAAGTGAGGAGGAAATGTAGGTACCAGCACTACTGCAACAATTACTACAAGACTTTCGAGATGTTATGAACCAATAAGGGACATCCAACAAGCCATAGACCTTATGCCAAGATTAGCATTGCCAAACCGACTAGCCTAAAGATTGAGACCGGCAGAGTATGAAAGGCTACAACGACTGCCAGAGTATAAAAGACAACGATAGGTGCAGGATCTCATCATGAGAGGGTTAGTTAGAGAAAGCACCAGCTTGTGCACAATTCCTGCCCTAATAGTGCCAAAAAGAGAGATTGTGGCAAATGTAAATCAACAGTATAGTCATCAACAAGATTACCATCAAATGTCGATTGCTTATACCCAAGTTGGATGATCTCTTTGACCAACTATATGGAGCCACTATCTTCTCTGAGATCAACTTGTGGCAAGGCTACAACGATACTTGTGCAGCGGGTATCAGCACATACGGATGAGACCAGGAGATGATTGGAAAGCCGCCTTCAAGACATGGGATGGACTTTATGAGTGGAGTGTTATGCCTTTTGATCTGTCAAACGCACCCAGCACTTTCATGAGGTTGATAAACCGAGTGATTTGGCAAAAAATTGAAAAGTTTATCATGGTTTACTTTGACGACGTTGTAGCATACATCCGATCAAACGAGAACCACTAGCATCACTTGAAGGCAAATCACTTATTTTTTTATATTAATGTAGTTTAGAAGGATGAGTTATCACTTGTTTTGATTAGTTCACTGTTATTTTAAACTAATTTTTCAAGAGTAAATAATTTATTAAAAAATAAACAATAAAAGATAATGTTTATAGAAGACACGAACAACCTATAACGAGGTAAATTTAGATATACTGCTTTAATTTAATTTATTTAGTGACTCCTTCATTTGTTAAAGGTTAGAAGAATATAGAAATCTTAATTCTCACCGTCCGACCGTCTATTTTTACGTTGTCTACTTCAAGTCCCGGGTCAAGTCGTGACATATAATGCTTGAGAGAGTGTGTCTATTGCGAACAGTAAACAAGATTAGAGAAGTAATTAGGGGATTAATTAAAGTTAATTAAGCTTCTAACTTCAAACTTTTATAACTTCACATGCACTTTTTGTTCATACAAGGTGTAATATCAATTTGATCAATTCAAAGTGCAGAATTTTATAAACTTTACTCAATCAAATTTTGAGGAATGCCAAAAATTAGGTTATATTTTAAACTTGTCAAAATTTAATCTAATTTGTCCAAAACTTGGTATTATAGATCAAAAGGCTTCAGAGTTAAAAATAAACCACGAATCACAAGAAAAAAACCCATGCCATAACCATGAGAGAGCATAGTCAATGCTTTGCGCCAACTAGCTAGAAATGACCACAAAATGTCACCTATGTCTAAATTATGCCCTGAAGCCACATATAGTTATACTCTAAAACCATATGCTCCTCAATTGTGCACCATGTCTTCGAGCCTTTAATTTAGACAGCCCTCAATTAGCAAAACTTTGTCACGAAATTGGTCTCTTTAACATATTTTCTCCCCAAATGATGTGTCCACCTTGGATAAGATAAAAACATGAATAATCATTATAATTTGTAACTTCAATACCTTTTCCTTTTCGATATGTTGCTTTAACTCCACAAGCTCCATCTCTTTTTGGCGCTAAACCCATCCAAATATAGAGACAATCAAGCATTAGAAAGCAACAGTAAGCCAAGAAAAAAGTAAACAAAATAATAAAACAAAAGATAAAGAGATGGTACCAGCAAGGCTTTCAGGTGATCAATTTCAGTTTTGCTGTCGTCTTCAGCAAAAACCTATTGCATTGTAGCGTCAACATATTAAGAAAAAGAGAAGCAAAAACTATAGCATTCAAAAAACTTCCATTAAGTTACCACCATGTTAGATGCCAAATCCTCATTTGTTTCTATGCCTTCTGCTTGATTGATAGCGAGTTCACTACAATATCAATTACAAGGCTTAGGAGTAGTAATAAGCAGTGTATCTGTTTACTATGAGACCAATGGTAGCCAAAGAAATGCGATGCAATACAAGCCACTAATCAGCCCAAATCTACTAACAAAAGTAAAATGGAAGGACTCGAATCAGGTCACAACAAAATTGAAGAAAAACTTTCATTTCAATTATTTGGCCAAATTTTAAAATTATTTTTTTATTTTTTGTTAGGTGCAATAATTATCTTTGGATAATATTAGCCTTGAATTTAAAATCTGGCCTTACCCATGTAATTCTATTTCTACAAGGATCAGCCTATAATGAAAAAATAAGCATCAACGAATGGATTTGATTATTCCAAAGTGTCTAGATGCATTGAATTACTCCAAAAAGTGTTTAAAACAAATGTCCCTTTGAAAATTCACCTCGAACCTCCTTAATTCGCAAAAAGTAGTCTCTGACGCATATGACGTCAAATCTGGCGCATTGGCGTCAAATCTGGCGCATTATGCACCAAGGCTCTGTCAAACAGCGCATCATGCGCTAGATTCTCAAAATTCGTTGTTTTGGCTCCTGATTTCGTCATTTTTGTTATTTTTGCTCCAAATGCTTAAAAGTGATATATCTGAAAAAAAAATACAAAAATATTTTTCTTTAAAGTGCAATATCACCAAAAACATGCATAAAATATATACTTAAAACAACATATTATTTTGATGTATCAACGGCCTTGCGAAGACGATGTGTGAAGGCTTGGGATCCCTAGCGAACATGAAAGGGAGCGTTGCACCTTGCTAAGGCGAGATTCCTCGTTTGAGCGAGATACCGAAGGCCTCGGATCGGGCGTGAAAGGGAGCGCCGGTGGGGGAGGCTAGGCGGTGCTGAACTAAAATCTAGGGTTTGTTACCTAGCTCTAATGCAATAGCAATCTTTGAGAAAAATTGGCTCAATGCCTTTTTCCTATGCTTTCGTTCTAAAAAATAATAATTTGTACCATCTATTTTAGGTAATCTAATAATATGTACAATTAATGAAAGAGGTAAATCAGGGAAGAAAATTTGAAGCAATTTAAATAAGAAAGCTCTTAATTCTAGCTCCCTGATTTTTGTCATTCTTGATTGATAGAAGAAACTTACAGAACTTGCACAACAATCTTCCTTCTCCAATCTAACGCAAAAATCTCAAAATTCCAACGCACCACACTCACACGAAGAAAAGCACACAGGAATTTTACGTGAAAAAACTTAAAAACAGGACAAAAAACATGGAGGCATACTATCACAAATTTTAAGGATTCACATAAATTTCTTCTTCACACTCACAGGAAGAAACTTATAGAACTTGCACCAACAATCCACGCTCGATATCGGCTTAAAAATCGAAATTGCGTGTAATAAATGTATCGGGCGCTTAGGCACCCAAACTTGGCGCCTAAACGCCAAACTCTCGATATCGACGTCCAAAAATGGGCGTCAAGGCACCAATAGATCACAGCCTATGCGCCGATCTCTCAGGAAAAATAGCAGTGTCCGCTCTATATGCGCCCAAAACCAGTGCCTAAGCACCGACGCCACTGTAGTCGCGCCCTACAGGGCGCTTGAGCGCTCCTTAAATACTACTTTGAATGCTTTGGCTCCACAAACCATAACACAGATTCCTCTACCACTCTCCATTAGACCAGAAACTTGAATGAAATTATTAAATAACAATTACAAATATACAACTCACATTTCAAACAAAAAAAACAATATATTCAATTGGCGGGCAAAAAAAAAAATGAACACAAAAAAAATGAACACACACACGCATACACAACAAATTGTTAATAAAAAAAACTATGCATTATACCACAATATGAATCACATGCAAAGCATTACAGGAACCGAGCTAAGATTGCATAAAAGAATTATCTTGTCGGCACAACTTGCCAATAACCTAATTACAACTGAAGGAAACAATAGCATATTAAAAAAAATTCTTTAAGAAGAAAATATTAATTTTCAAACAAAATATCAAATGTGGACATATAGTTGTAAAATGTCTTTCCATCATAAAATAGATTTTACAAAGAGAATAAACCAAAGAAAAATCCAGGAGTTGGAATTATCCTAATGTTAGTTTCCTTAAGTTGGCAATGCAAGCAACGCCAACGTAAAACAATTTTGTAAAAATGACAGACACCGGAGTTAACCAAAATCGCAATAGGACAAGCAAATGATATTACTAAAAATAAATAGGTGGTTACAACCGACATACTTGAAAGAAAAAATACAATAGACACAAACAAATATAATTATAGTGTATTCTAAAGATGATAGTGATTGTCAGCGAGGGTTGAAAATAGCAAGGTGGTTGTTTCCGCAGTGTAGAACAACAAACAAACAACAAGAAGAAATGTGGGGGGGCGCGGTGGGGGGGCTGCCCAGGGTGATGGCAGCACAGAGGAAGGACTAGACAACAGTGAAACGGCTGGAAAATTGGAAAATAGCAATCATGGGTGGAGGCAGCTAAGGGGGAGTTGCGGCAGTGACGACACTCTAGAAATAGGGAAACAGCTGGCCTGGCGGCCAGAAAACAAGAAAATAGTCGAAAAAGGCTTCTTCTGAGTGGCTGTAGCAAACGAGAATGACGACAACAATGTTGAGGAGGCAGCAAGTAGGGAAGGGAGGTAAGTGAGGAGTTTTATGGAGATAGTCACCACCTTAGAGCAGGATACAACCGAAACACCATGTATCCTTAAAAACAACAATAACAAGAAGAAAACACCGATAACAAATCAACAAAAACTAAACTCTAACATAGAAAACAACTTACAATAAAGGATAACTAGGAGAGGGAACCCTTCCCCTTGGTCGGCAGGCCAAACTCTAAGCAGGGTCAGCCGATTCAGCCTCCTTGCTGAAATGGTTTGGTCGGTTATGCCCTATCGCGTGTCATTCTTCCGAGGTGGGGGGAGCTTTGACTTCTCGTCGAAGCTTCTAGCTCCTCATAGCACGATGCCAAGTCTGTTAGATTGAACGCAGCAAAAACAATGTAATCTCCTAGGATTGATGGGTTTTCTATAACAGTCTGAGAAGCACCAAGATCCCACTGGCGACAACACCGTCCCTCGAATCACCTGAGAATTTTTTTCCTACTTTTGAGCAAACAATCATATCATTCCCATCTTCTGGAGGCTCAATAGTGCTCTGAATTGGGTTTGTGTCACAAATATACTGCAGAATCCTCTCAAAGTAACCTAAGGTTGGCTCAATATAATCTGAAGTGAGGGTAACTTGGACCTCCCCGAATGGTGGTGGCTAAGGTGGTAAGGTATCGATCGTGAAATCTTGAAATGCTCTGTTTTGACTGTCTAATATTTGGGATCGACGTCTTAGTCCTATCATCTTCTATCGTCGCCGAAATTGGTCCCACTGACGCTCCTCTGCTGGTAAAAGCACCTGTGATCTCGGCCTTCAGGAGTAGGTTTCTCTTAACCTGTCACGCTGAGTCCTTCAGTTAAATTGTGATGGTTCCCTAATAAAAGGAGATTGGCATCAATGGGCACCATGTCGCACCAATAAGAAAACTCCAAAATACACATCATGTCAATGTTGACTCTAATCTCCTTTAACCACATTAGAAAATATAATCGGGAATGCATCTGAATCGTGAGGCTCAATTTTTCTACCATCTACATAGATGTTTTTATTGGTCCCTCCATCGTTGATGAGACTACATACCTTTCCTTTCACAGTGCAACATGTAGAATATGTTGCGGTAAAGTCACTGTTGTTCCCTCGTATTCTAAGTCCGTAGGACTCATCTAACCACAGGCATCTCGCCCTCATCCAGTGGAATATGATACACCTTAAACTAGATTTCAGCTGCTTGTTCACTGCTAACCTCCTTCACTGCACCGTGCACGGTAAACGACACAACTTCGCTCGTCGAGCAACAGGAGGAGATGTGCCAAAATCCATGGCATCTAAGTGCTTTCAGGTTGGGAATGTAGTAGGCGTGTTCTTCTTCTTAGGCTTCTTCTCACTTTGAGTGGTTTTGTGCTTATCCTGGCCCATCTTCTCAACTCCCTGAAGCATGCTCCTAACTGATGTCTCCCACTGTGGGTGATGTCTGAATGGTGCGGGTTGCTTTCTGTATTTTTGTTGTCTCCCAACATTCAATGTTAAGGTCTGGACATCTCTCGGTGGCCAATAAGGCTGCAGTTGCACATCGTTACTGATAATGGGCTTCAAACCCCCAAGATATCAAGCAATGGAATGTTCCTCTAACTCAACAGACTTACACATCACTTGCAGCTAGTCAAACTGTGTCGTGAATTCCTCCACTAATAGGTCTCTCTACTGTAGGTGGTGCAGTCTCAAAAACATATCATGGTGATAATGAGGAGGTAAGTATTTTTTCTGCATCTCCTTTCTCATCTTCTCTCATCTAGTAATCTTGTTATTGTCTCTTCTCTATTTATCTGCCTCTTATCCACTATAAATAAGTGCTATTTTTCACTTCGATGGCCTCTAGTTTCACCCATTTATCTTCTGGCACCTATTCTCGAAGATACATTCAACTAAATACAGTCATTCGATGAAATCGTCTGAATCCATACCTTCATCAAACTTCGACAGATCCACCTTTACTCTGAAGACTGTGTCCTCCATACGTTGTCGTTTCGGACGACATCATCTGATACTGGAGAAAAATTTGCATACGTAAGACGTGCAGCGCTGCGTACGTCAAGAAGATTATTCAGAGGGTATTGGGTGGTTATATCCGCGTTATACCCCTGCAACATTCCTATAACATATTTGTAACCTACAAATATATGAAAACAGATGCGCGGAACTTACTAGAAAGTACAGGTAGGTTACAGGTATGTTACAGGGTGCTTACATGCGATATAACGCAGATATAACCTCCTCAATATCCTCTGAATAACCTCTCTGATGTACGCAGCGCGGTGTACGTCTTACGTACGCAAATTTTTCTCCTAATACCAGATTCCGAAG